CTTCAAGGCCCGAGTAAATAGGTTGCTTATGGGACGATGTGATTTATCGTAGACTGCATTATCGCTTACCACCAGGCAATATAGTGGTGATATGTCGGCCCATCAAATTTAAAAAAAAACACGATCAAGGCGGATCCCTGTTTTGGCGGTGTGGCGTCACTGCCATCGACTGTAGGCAAGGGGTTGGAGTAGTCAGACTCCTTGTAATGGTCGATATGGTATCAAGTCCGGTGGTGTGTTTTATGCCTTGTGTTAGTTTTTATATTATCTTTTTAATTACACTAACTTTGCATTTTGCATTTACCAACGTACAATTTGACATACACATCACACCCAGACTCGAAACAACAATTTGTGGGTCACACCGTGCTCCGTGCGAGAATCGAACCCGCGAAACGTTGCGCGACAGCCAGTTGCCCAGCCACCGCGCCAACTGTGCAGTCAGTTCTCCAAATAGATAATTTCATTTCGTAATAATAAACGTTTCTTCACACAGCATTTTCTCTTGTGTCGTGGGTACATTTACAAACATACAAATTCAGACACAGAACATATAATCTTATACTATTATATAAAGCAGAAGAGTTTGTTTTTTTGTTTGTTTGTTTGAACGCGCTAACCTCCGTAACTATAAGTCAGAGTTGAATAATTCTTTTTGTTTTGGATAGTGCATTTATCGAGGATAGCTATAGGCTATAAAACATCACTCTACGACCAATAGGAGCTGAGCAGAGCGTGTGAAACCTCGCGGAAGTAGCTAGTTCTTTATATGTTCTGTGAATTCACATATACACCACATTCAAACTCAAAACAAGAGTTCGTGAATTAAACACAGATTTAGAAGAGAATAAGGTGAAGTCAAAACATCGTGAGGAAACCTAGACTTAGAATTTCTTATCATAAGTTTCAAATCAGTTTGAGCAAGCATCGTAATTAATGCTCAAGTCTTCTGCTTATGGGGAGAGGCATTTGCGCAGCAATGGGCACTTAGAATCTGATGGTAATATTCCGTACGCGGTACGAGAATTGAACCCGTCTCACATTGCCCCATCACCCAGCCGAGATATTGCGACAACTGCGTAATTGATAACTATAATAATATGTGACGCATATAAAGAGGATTTTACTGGATTTTTATACTATTAACCATTAATTATTATTTAATAATTATTATTTAATGACCGTTGTAATTAATAAATCATTCTATCGTTTATATAGGTACTTACTTATGTTATTGATTTCTTAATAGGTAATGTTATTAGTAGGTAATTGTAATTTCGTAAGTGTAGAATAAAAAGAATACCTCTGACCCTTCTATGGTTACTGGCTAATCACAAATTGTGTCTCGTCAACTCGTCCACCATTGGTTGTACAATATATCGTGGGTTCAATTCCTGTACAAATTGTCGTTGTAGCGATGTGAAATACATGTTTACTCCTAGTCGGGTCTTCGACACCCGCGGGAAGAGGAGTGGTGAATAATTTAGTCTACTCTGCACTACCACGCAGCAGATGCTCATTCATAATCGTAAATGTTATAAAAGATTAGATAGTATTAATAATTTTCTATTGAACTATTAACTTCAAATCTCGAAATTAAATAAAGAAAAGAAACATGTGTTTTACAAAACCAGTTTCAATAGAAATTTGTATGCGTGAGTCATCTTATTAACATATACATTACAATCATATAATATACAATAATAAACACTAAAGTCCCGTATTCACAAATGCACGCTACCTACACATCTCACGACAATCGATACGAATACTGTGTAATTTTAAGAGAAGTAGGAACGGGGTGGTTTTTAGTCAGTAAGAGTGTGACACTCCCTCTCGCCCCACCCGAGCGGGAGAAGTCATTGAATGATTCTCCCTCCTCAAAAGAAAGAACGAAAGAACAGTGTTTGAGTCACGATTTAACTGTACAGTTTTATCTCAACCAATTGCACAACATTGATTTCGTAGATTTTGACAAACCTGAATTTATTACTTTTCGAGCATTTCTTACTTTATTGAAACAAAGAGTTTCATTTTCTTGTATAGAAGCACTATTTTTATGGATTGTCAGTATGCATATGTGAGTACCATGTTAGACTATAAGATTTTTTTATTTTAGTAAGGTTTGTAAGTAGTCCCTATAATGCGTCAAGCGTGTCTGCATTGTTCTCACATATACGTACAGTATTGGAATACGTATCAGAGACATTGCAGAACATACTTTTTTTTAAAGAGTAACGAATTGAGTTTCTTGCTTGTTCTTCTCCATTCGAATCTACATTTTGGAATGAGCACCTAGCTTCACCTAGCTTCACAGACGGACTGACTAACAGACTATTATTTATTTTGTATTTGTTGACGTTTCACAAGGACCAAATTATGGTTTAATTGAAACAAATGCTTTGACTTTATGAAATCAGTGTTGTACAATTTTGCAACTATTGTAGTAGCAGACTAAGGCACAGAATAACACTAAGGGTGCAGTTCCATTGACGCGGAGCGAAATTTTGAAATCCACATCTCTTCTCCACTCCGCTGAATTGGTTGTAGTTGATTGGTGAATCGCGGCACAGCTCTTCTCCGCTCCGTCTTAATGGAACTGCACCCTAAGGCCCCAGTATTATCGCACCGCGTCTCAGTATAAGCTAGTCCTAGGATTCTTATCTTCTTGATAAGGAAAATCTAATACCTGATTTACCTGATTCACTTTAATTACGTTTTTTAGATTAGACGTAATGTTTTCCTCATCATAGGGTTTAAGATATTTCTTAGATTTATAATTCCAACGAAATACAAGATTTTTACTACAAGACATAACATCACATAACATCACGCCTTTTATCCCTAAAGGGGTGGGCAGAGGTGCACATTACGGCACTTAATGCCACTGTATAAAATAAAGTGACACCCACTTTTCACTATTTATGTTATGAGTCCCATGTAATAGGGGTGAACCTATTGTCATTATACAAATTTCCAGACTCCGTGCTACTACTGAGAATTTCTTAAAAAGAAACCCAGTAATACTTTGCCCGACCCGGGTATCGAACCCGAGACGACCCTATGCCCGGCAGTTGCTCCACTCGGCCAACAAGGATTTTGTATTGTCACCTAACACCTGATGGTAAGCAATCAGCACTACATGGACATCTGCAACATCAAAGTAGTTACCAGTGTGTTACCATTTAGGATGGAGGGGATTGAGCCTCCTGTAACCTTACTTACACGGCAAAGCACAACACAAGCGTTATTTCACACCAGTTCCCTATAAGGGCTCGTACAAAAAACTGCGTTGCGATGCGATTTCACAACGCAAAAAAATACGATGCAAATCGCTGCGATGCGATTTCGTGCGACAAGGCGTCCCCCAGGGTGACCATTCCTTCGACGACCGTCAACCGTACTAAACGTATTTTAAATTGAGAACTAGGTCGTGACATGGATCATAAAAAGAAGTGTGCACTTCTGTTATTGCTTAGGAGATACAGGAAAAAGAAACAAAGAAGATTTTGGGAAGATAAGATTTTGTTGCGCGATGCTAATCAATTCGCAAGTTCTTGCGATGCGTAGAGGGAGCTCGCACATTTTTGCGATGGGACGCCGCATCGCAGTTTTGCGTACGAGCCGTGAATGTCTATCAAACCAGTCTATCTATACCGAAAAATTAGAAAATGGTTTCATTTTTTGGGCCACACATAATACTCATGATACTGCATAAAAATCAAGGTCACAGTCAAAAACGAATGACCTTCAGTTTTATGAGACAACAGAATAATAAAAAGCTCATTTGTAATCAATTATGACACTAAATTGTTTCATGAGTAGGTCATGAACCATACTTCGCATTTTGTGAACAGCTGATGTGTGTGTACATACTAAATTTATTTAAATTAGACTCATGCCTATGCTTTAGGATCGACGTACATTCGCATTCGTACACGACATTTTTTTTTGAGCGGGGAAAATCATCCGATTCCGATTCACTTCTCCTGCCCGGGTGAGGCGAGACGGAGTGTCAGACTTTAATGACTAAAAACCACCCCGTTCCTACTACTACTACTCCTGCTCTTCGAGCTGGAGCCCCGGCAACCCGTTAAGCCCTCCGCGACTCCATATCGATATCAGCCCTATTGGGCCCCATCTATAGTGGTCTGATGGTTCCTCGAGGCGTGTTCGCCGTACTCGCCGTGCGTAGGCCCGTGCTTACGGTGGCTGGAGATCGTACGACACTGCGCCTGCGTAGGGTTATACTTTCGAAACGTTCCACAACACACCGCGATTTTCAGTAATTTGTTACTAAATATTTTATTAGTCTGCCTCGTTCGCCGTAGTGGTCGCAAGTGTGTCTATCAGACAAGGAGTCTTTCTTTCGATTCCCGAGTCGGGTAAAGTATTACTGTAGTACGGAGTCTGGAAATGTGCCCGGTATATGGCAATAGGCTCACCTCTATTACATGGGACTCATAACATAAATAGTGGAAAGTGAGTGTTTCATTATGCAACGGTATTAATAGCTGTAAATGTGCACCTCTGCCTACCCCTTCGGGGGAAAAAGACGTGCTGTTATGCATATTTTATTACTGACATTGTCATATTTTTTTTATTTCCAGGGGAATCATACAAATGTGGAAAGTCCTGATCTTGCCACAAAACACTCATCTCATTCGCCAACAGACAGTGAGCCCAAATATGTATTACATTCAGAGAAGGACACGTATGACTTCACTGCACAAAGATGTGTTGAGAAACCTACAAAGTAAGTACAAATTTTATATTAGGTATATAGTTCATTTATCTTACGAGCGCGGGTAAGCTATAGTTGTAATTGTAGTGCGTATAGAGACGCGCGCTTGTGTGCGTGACTCGCACCTAGCTCATTCATTGGCGTGCCGGCCAAATGTGGGCGTTCCCGAGCATACGCAAACAAAGACAATGTGCGTGTGTATTTCCTCACACAAGTATGACGCACCTGCGCTCCTGAGATAAAACATTTATACATACTGCTGTTGGCATCAAAGCCTCCGTTTAAGTATTATGTATGGTAGTGAATCATGGGTATGGAAGAAGAAGGACAGCTTCGTTGGCCGAGTGGTCGCAATTGCGACTGCGGGCAAGGGGTCTCGGGTTTGATTCCCAGGACGGGCAAAGTAATACTGGGCTTGTTAAAAAAATCTCAGTAGTAGCACGGAGTCTAGAACTGTGCCCAGTATATGGCAATAGGCTCACCCCCTATTACATGGGACTCATAACATAAATAGTAAAAATTGGGTGTTACATTGTACAGTGGCATTAAGTGTCGTTATGTACACCTCTGTCTACCTCTTCTGGGATAAAAGGCGTGATGTTATGTTATGTTATGTTATTATTCGTCAAGTCAATTATTATGTCCTCAAAAATTGTAACCTAAAATTATTTTAATATCACATTCTAAAATATTGGAACATCGAATTCAACACGAAGGTTGAATCAGTTAAGGCTGGATACAGCAACAAACAAATTGACGTTAATATTATACCATCAATAAGCATCTGTAAATGTAGCACTGCAATTATTAATAACTACGTCATCAAGCATATGACGTCATTATGAGAATAGTACGTTCCGTAAAACCCATTTTACCAGTTAATACGGATCGAGATGTGAATAGAGACAAAAGAGGGGTAAACAGATATTGGGGAATTCTTCATAGTATCGATTCACTCTTCTTCTGTCTCTATTCACCTCTCGATCCCTATTCACCCCATTTTACCTTTATCATAATACTAGCTTCTGCTCGCGGTTTTGCCCGCGTTCCCATGAAATAAAAGTAACCTATGTGTTATTATGATTTCAGACCATAATCTGTCTCCGTGTCATTACGATCTAACTTATTTATACTCGTAATTATAAGTTTAGTTACGTTCAAAAAATGCTATAAAAGTTATTTTCGTTCAACCATACATTATTATAATTTAATTTTAAACAGTCTGAGGTTGAGTACTTTTAATGTACTTTGCTCAGCTCCTACTGGTCGTAGCGTGTAGCGTCATGTTTTTAAGCCTATACCCATTCTCGATAAATGCGCTATCGAACACAAAAATAATTATTCAAATCAGACTTGTAGTTACGGTGATTAGCGCGTTCAAACAAACAAACAAAAAACAAACTCTTCCGCTTTATATAATAGTATTAGTATAAGTATTTTTTTTAAGGGGGGAAAATCATCGAATGACTGCTCCCGCCTGGGTGAGGCGGGAGGGAGTGTCAGACTCTTACTGACTAAAAACCACCCCGTTCCTTCTCCTGCACGTCGAGCCGGAGCCCCGGTTACCCGTTAGGTTCTCCGCGAC